ATTTACCAGGGAGATTAGGTTAACATTGCTGTCGAGAGATACTGATGAGGACACAGTTATCATGCAGGTGTAATGGGGACACATGACTGCAACAATATATTTTTAGGGAGGTAACTGATATAGGAATGTAAAAACATACAGGGTTTTTTGTATTTTAGTGTGATTTTATTCTAATCTAAGAAGCTTTCTGCATGAATATCTTTTTGAAAGGTTTCTACCTTGGTTCATGAGAAGAAAGATGTTATTATTAAAAAAGAAAATGACAAGAAACATTTTTGAACAGAGCAGCTCCACTGAACCTTGATCAAGTCCAGCGGAGATGATCAATTTGACAAAATACGAATAAACCTAAATTAAAATTGGTTTAAAACACTTATAACAATATACAATATAAAAAACAACACAAGGCTATATTTGGAACCGCTTACTATGTATTACCTGTTACTGCAGTATGCAGTACGTAGTTCATATAAAACTGTTAAATAGATATATTTTGCATAAGGTAAGGTAGGCCGGTTTCCGGTTATGAAAAAGTGGAAGTTAACAATAAGAGGAATATAAATGTAAGTTCAGCAAATAAAAAAATGTTTCGAATTTAATCTTGTGTAAGAACAAGGCTACAGCCGATCTGATCCCAACCTTATAGTTCTCCTACTACCCATGACAAAGCCATAACACTTATTAGGCCTGCTAAGCTAACATTTGATATGACAAAGACAGAAACGTTAACTTTAGTGAGCATTAAATAAGAAACCAACACGACATATATAACTTAAATCTAACATTGAGTTGTATTTATTATCAGGGACAGAGCAGTTATATTCCTTGTACACCACTGATGCAGCGATGGTGCTGGTTGCCATTTTCAACAAAAGACCGGTTGTTGTTACTGAATTAGTACATCCTGGTAATTTTTGCATACTGCATACTATAATTAGGCCAAACCAATACTGCTACTGTAGTAGGCGGTTTCGAAGAGTCATGCTCACTGCGCTTTGAGGATTTAAGAACAGTGGTGCTTTGAGCTAAATGTTAATGTCAGTATACTAGCTTGCTCAAAATGATAATGCTAACATTACTGATTTTTAGCAGGTGTAATGTTTACCATGTTCCCCATCTAGGTTTAGCATGGTAGCATGCAAATAATTGATAAACATAAAGTACTCAGACTGACAAGAGTGTCGAATGTCATTAGTTTTGCAGGTATTTAGCGATAATGTAGACAATAAGTTAAACCTACAATCATTGATTTCTTTGGCTACATGGGGGCAGTGCAAAGACATCGTGAACACAACACCAACATGGCATCACTTTTTAAGTTGCAGTTATCATCATCCATAGAGAGCCGAACACAGTTGGACAGGGACAAAAATTAGGACCTGGCATTTTTGGCCCAGGCGGCCCACCAAAATCGGTCGGACACCCCTCACCAATAGGTGTGCTCTGGGGGCCCACACCAACCACACATACACACAACAGTGACCTACTAGTGAATATGCAGTCTACAGCAAACCAAACATGCAGTGAAAGGGTTAAGTAACAAAGAGCAAAATATAAACAAACAAGTGCATCTCTTTAGATGAACGGTGCTACAACCTGAGACAGGTTGCATAACGAGAGTGGGGCTAAAGGTGGAGAAAGAAACGAGTTAAAAAAGCAAACATTGAGCCCAATTAGGCAAAGCTGCAATGTACCTCTGAGGACAGGCCAGTGTGTGACAGGCGGAAGCATACAACCCCCTACTCCCTACCTGGGTACTTTATTCTCCACAGTCTGAAATCAGTGTAATTAGATGCAGGCAGTCTCTGTCCAGCCCAGAGTGAGGGCACGGGAGAGGAAGGGAGAGCCTACCGGCTACAAATACATTACATGAAACAATTTAAACACAAAAGGAGGAAAGAATTGCCTCAAGCCCCCGACCCGTCATTGCTCCTTCACCAGCTCCAGCACAGTGAGAATGGCCTGTTGAGGCTGGCTGTTGTTCTGGCTCACGTGACACCAACCATGACCTTCCCCTCAGAGCAGACCTGAACCAGTCACTAGTGGTGTCTCTGGCAAGAGGGTTGTATGTTTCCTCACGCTGTCAGGACAGCTCAGACACCGGCTGGATGACTTTGGAAATGCGAGTCTTCCTCCACTGACACTCCACATCTGTCGAGCTGATCTCCCACAAGGCAGAAATTGCCAATCATAGGCTGATCTCAAAATAGTGCTGTCAACTCAGCATGCTATAGGATGGGCAGGATATACTGTATGTACCCATTTGTTTTAGTAATGTTTATTTAAAGTATCAGCTGTATCTCAATAGGTTACCACCTATAAGCAAATGATTGCGCCCTTGGATATGGGTGAAATCACTATTGATAGCTGAAACTGCGCCGCTCTTAACACAAGCTACCACGATATGTATGTAGCGTGTCATAAGGAGCCATAATAGTCCGTTTTAACTTTAAATTATACAATTTTTACTGATATCTGTTAACTCAAAATTTAGCTAACGTTAGCTAGGTGACATTTCACTTGTTGAACACTCATCCAAACCCTTTACAGTCTTTTAATACGGTCCACCTCGTAGTGGAAGAAAGAGATGAAATGCACCACGGTGACAGCCATGTTGGTGACATACAGCCTATTGTGTGAGACAAGACGTGTAGTTCACTGAGCGGTTTCAAACAAAACTAAATGTTACTTTTCTGTTTTACGATAAACTGCGACGTTCTTGACTTGCAAAATTATCTTTTAAACTGACAATCGTGTAATTCAGGTCACAATTCAAATGGGATAAAAAACACTTGTCTCGCGGTTTATTACTGCACATTGGGCCTGATTTACTAAAGGTTTGCGTGAGTAAAAACGTGTGCAAACGTAGTATCACCAGCAAATTAACACGTAAGCTGATCTACTAACGGTGTGCACGCAGAATGTCATTCAAAAGTGCAAGATAGCACCTGTTGTTCATTTAGTACTTTTGCCTTAATGAATATGCAATTTGGGGCATTTCAATTTTATTGTGCAAAATAATTGGAGGGTAACATGCAAATACATTTATTTACTACACGCAATGTGATCTAACAAGCCTAAAAGCAATTTCATGTGAGTGCAACAGCATCTGTATTTAATAGTTTGAAAGGAAGGTGCAAACCACCAAGTGCTGCGCAGAGATGGCTGCTGTTATTATTGCGAGAAGGAGATATTAAAAAAGGGAAATTAAAAATTTTGAGATAATATTGTATATCCAGTATATAGAAATACTATTATTTTATATATTCGATGAACTGAATTGAATTGTTTTGGGGGTTTTTGTATTTTCCTTTAGCTTTGGAAATACTATTGTGTTAACATTCTAGCCAATAAATTTTGTTTCGACCTGAAGAATTTATAAAGTTGCGAGGCGCTGTAGAGAGCCCCCAGCTGCAGAAGTGCATGGATCACCCTTAAAATTCATCCAGCCAGAGGAAATGATCAGCAACTGTTCACAGCGCGCCGGTGTAATAGCGACACAACCCATTGTAGGTATCTCAGAGGGAATGGGGCGTTCGGGTGTACAAGAGAGCGCAGAGCGACCGGGCATGCTGAGGACAGTGATTGTTCCCTCTGGCTGGATGAAGCACGATCTGCTGGCATTTCCTCGCGTCAGGGTCATTCCAGAATACTGTATCTGTTTCTGCTGGGGTTTCCCAAAGCAGTTTTTCCAGGTGTACTGTCCCAAGTACTTAGTGCTATCTTAGGGAGGATGGGCAGGTACCTATTTGCATCAGTATTTAGCAAAAAACATCAATGAAAATCCAAGAATAAGATGCACTAGTAGTGGATAGTCTGAACCAAGAAAAAATAATGGCTAATATGAAGCTGTACTCCAGTGAAATGGTGCACATTTAATTGTCTCACTCATTCATATGTGTGGACAGTCAACATCTGTAACTCACACAATCCGGCGAACTCCTCACTTTATAATCTGCTTGATATACATCACCAGATAGCTGCTGTCAGCACATGCATGCGGTTTGGGGTATTAATAAAAAATAATACGATGTGTGTACCAAAAACATCTGTGCCATCACCACATAACTGATGAACAATGACTAAATATTTCTAAATGTCAGGGATTGCCTGGGGACACAGCCAAATATTACATTATGTCCTCTGCATATGCACAGCATTTGATTACCAGTTTATGACCAACATTTTTCAAGGGACCTTATTGGGCACCTCGATAGTTGCCATGTGCAGATTTCTTCAAGGAGATTTAAAGAACTTTCAGAATGAGACCCTGTTTGTGTGGACATGACAAAACTCCATTCAGACCTTGTCTAAACTTTGTTGTGCAAGAAGTTGAGTATGAAGTCGCCTGGCCACTGCCTTCATTCGAGTTTACAGTAATTAATTTACGGATCATCTGTATTTTAACTCTCCAAATAATGACGATGCTATTTAATCAGAACTGAGATGCCTCTATAGTATAGAATATAAAGAAGCAATCTAAATCATTAGACTGGACCGTGTCTAAATGTGGTTCCTTTGGAAGTTTTCCTTAAAGTATGGTCCATGTCCCAGGTAAAGCTCCAAAATGCACACCGTGTTTGGTACGAAACCAAACTTGTCTCTGGTAACTAAGAATAATTCCCTGTGTAATCTTTTATTCTGCTTGACTGTCTTAAAGTCTTACCAACAGTAAAATCAGGTCCTGCACTCACATTCACCAGGTCAGTATTTTGATACTGGCAGCATGTGTCTGTCTATCTGTGTGTAGTCAGCCTGGAGCATATCACTCCTAACACAGCGTGACGGGGCAAAACAGACTTGGCTGACACATCCTCAGTACAAACACTGTCTTAGAGCGCCATCTGTTGGACTTATCATGTGTTACAGTTCAAGTTAAATCTGCCAATTCACATTAAGAGTATTTTTCTTTTAATTATCCCTTCTCCTTATGAGTGTGAGAAACACAATACTATGCAATACAGGTATTGCATGCATAATGAATGCATTTCCACACAGTGTGATTTGAAATGTAGTGATTTATTTCATGCTAAAGCTTGAAGATTGATCAACAGAACCCCCCTCAGAAAATAAAAGTAATAAATACAGCAGATCAGTCATGTTTTCATGATACAGAGAAAATAATTTGCACTTATTCAAAAAAAATGAGAGGAAGAACTCAAGTAATGAAAGAGATATGAAATTCAATTTCTCAAACTGTGGAGTGATTCAGTACAGATTATTATCTCTGCACTCGAGCACAGACCAGAGTACATCTGTTCAGATAACGGTGAGAAATTAGATTTGATGTGTTCCCAAGCGGGGAACAGATTAGAGAGATAGGGATACATTCGTTGTTTTTGGTCAGTTATTTATCCACAGAAGTTTAAAGAATCTTAAACAGAATCTCCAGAAGTTTCAGCACAATAAAACAGCAATAACTTTGATCTGTGTTTCATGCAACCCCCAGACAGCAGACAGCGATTCCCCCTTTTCACAACTACAGCAAATCTACACCGAAATACAATTAAAGCAGGCGTTGTGAACGGCAGTCCTTTCCACGGGGGGGGGGGGGCTTGAATGCATATCTAGAAACTGACACTATGGTAAAATACAAGATTTTATATTCTCCACAAAGATTTCATGTGTACAATTCAGGAAAGCATTGATTGTTTCCAGTGTCTAGTAATCTCTAACAAGGCCCGTTAAGGTACAAAGTGAGACACACACCTGACACATTTTACACTTCCAACACTCTCGGTCAAACAGTAAAGAGGACAATGAGAACATACCTTGACAATGACTATATTTTCTGATAAAGAAATTCTGCGATTGTATTTATGACTACTCAAAATGTGTACAAATTTGGGTAACAACATTTGAGCCCGTCTTAGAAAAGTGCTGAAAACACACACCGACACCCAGCAGCTGAATACACACCCTGCTCAAGACATTCTGTACCACCTCAAAAAAACTAAAATAAAAACTAAACACACTTTGGTTTTCCTCACGCTCAGTTCATACTCACATTCACGCCACTAGTACAAACAGATGCGGTGAAATATTCATTCAGTAGTAAGCACAAGAAATTTGTAGACCCAGACTTTGAGAACATGAGACTCAGAAATGTTCCTTCACCTGTCTAAAGGAAAAACAATCCCCCAGCAGCTTTAAAACTGGCAGCCATGATATTTTACGTAAACTCAACTGTGACAAGTCATGTGCTTGTAGCGTTTTATACCCTGACTAGGCTCTAACACTGGAAAAAGAATTCTAGTGCTGAATGTTTGCAGACAGTGTTCAGTCTCAAATTCATTACGTTAAAACAAGTCAGACCCACAAAACTAATACACGCGGAAGGGAGAACAGTAATGCTCGTCTGCTTATACTTGTTTCCACTATACCATTTACTGTACAGCTCAATAAAATCAGTGTAAACATAACGCTGGACTACTACCAAGTTTTAGAGAGCTTACACATTGCTCTGAACCTCCGATGCTAAAGTGAGAAAGATGGATGAAATCTGGATGGGAGGAGGGAGAAGGAATAAAAGGAAACATTAGAGAAAATGAAAGAGAGTGAGAAACCAGCAAGAAAAAAAAGAGAAAGACAGCAACATCCCCCAGGTGTCCAGCCCCCGCAAGACCCATCTTCCTTCTTCAAATCTCTTCAAAAGGAGCAATATAGGGCCGCTCTTTCTCACTCCATCCATCCTCTATAGATCCCTCCATCCCCCCATGGATGACTTCCATCTGGGGAGCAGCGACAGGGCCCAGCGACTAACAAACACCCACTGAGGGTATAATTCAACGGACAGCATATCTGGGTGTCTGTCTGCGTCCGGCTGCGTGGTCCGTTTCTCTGTGAACACACATCTACATGTACACAAAGCTCATTAAAAAAGACCATCCAAGCAGAGGAGACGGGGGACAATTATCAGAACCAGTCAAGGCAGAACCAAGGTTTCTCAGTGAAAAGTTAATAGACACACTTACATGGTGTGCAACAAGATGTACAGGGCCCGCAGTTAAGTACCTTGACTTAGTCATGACTCTGGTCGATGAGTAGCCGAAGGCCTAACTCTACAGCTATTCTGTGCCTGTCTTTTTGTTCAACGCAGACTTGATCAATACACTCCTGCTAAAGTGATTCGTCATAGCTCCATACACAAGGTTATATTTTCTAAATCCCTTCTAAAGGGCCTACCTTAACACTCCAAACACGAAGGACCAAAAGACCTTCCTACCTTTTCGGGTAGGAAAAGAAAAGTCAAACACTTTCTTTTAGTTTCAAGGATTTCAAATCATTCTAATAACAATTAATCCGTTTTAATACATTTTACATCTCCATCCTCCTCCTTCAGTCTCAACTGTTTTCCAAAAGGCCCGGTCACAGCAGAAAGTGGCACAGCAAAATTTTACCTGCCTCTTTAAATTATGCGGTTCTAGAAGCTCGGTGACGAAGTGATTAGGGCTGCAACGTTTTCATTACTTCTCACACATTATTTCTGTAAAATGTGACGTCTTTAAATTGCGTGTTTTCTCCAACCAACAGTCTAAAACCCACATATATTAAATCATATATTGCAAAGAAAAGCATAATTTGAGATGGTGGAATCAGAGAATATTCGGCAAGGGGGAGAAGCAACTTTGCTAACTGCTTGCTAATTGTAAGCAAAGACATTAGCTAGCTTACTTGGTTGCTAACAGGATCAGTTCACACAGTATTTTCAAGAGACATATTATTTTGTACCATTGACTTATAACTGACTCTCGAGCCAATCCATTTGTTGGAACGTTCCCACTCGAATAAATTGATTTTGCTGGAAGATTTCAGAGCTGGTGTGACGGGGCCTGCAGTAGGAGAAAAGCTAAATTAACATTCTGACCATGACTCAGTAGGTTGGACCAAACTGCGATGTTAAGGGATATGTAAGATGTGTGTTTCTCTGCTCAAAATGCAGCTCTTTGGTACATTCCATTACCCAATGAAATGTAAGTGACATTAAAATATAGTTACAGATCTTAAAAGACATATAACTAATAATAATAAGCAATATGGATACCTGAGAAAGATTTTTTCTTAATGAAAAACCTGCCATAAATCGAGGCGAGGGGATAAAAAAACAAAGAAGGCGAAAACGTAGTTGACAGAGAAAAGAGACTCTCAAAGACGCCGCAGTTCTCCTCTCAACGTTACATTCAGTTACATCAGCCACACCTTGTTTTTCCTTTCTAATTCAGCCATCGCCCACTCTGATCTAAAATAAAAAGGGGAGAAATGCAGCAATCAAGGAGCTTTTCTCCCTCCGTCTTTAGAAGTAATATGTGAAAACCCTTAGGCGAACATATACAAACACACACACTCTCTCACTGTGTTGATCTTCACTGGACTTAATTCACACGACTAAAGCTCAGCAGCACCAGCTGATAAGTCTCGTTAAGGCCAGCTCGTTAGGAGAGGGCCGTCTCCGTGGCAACAGCTCGGTGACATCAGGTCTGTTGTGCGACGTGCGCCAAATTGGACGCCATTTGTCAGTAGTTGGACATGTGTGTTTTTTGGTTTAAAGAGTCAGTCGAGCAGCAAGGCTTAGTTGAATTGTTCAGCCTTCGGATGGTGAGCGGGGGGAGTGTGTTAAGTTCCAGACCTGCAGTGTTCTGAAGAAAAACACCCTCAGTCTCCGTACCCTCTGATGTGACGTCTCAGAGCATGTTCAGAGTGGGTTTGTAAGCTAAACCACAAACATTTCTCATCTGCAGCGTGTCCGCGTCAGTAGAACTTGTCATCGATGCGGAAGTGTGGTCTGGTGACATCGTCAGGGTTGAGGAAGACAGATATGGATTTCCCAGGGTTCTCAGTTACCAGCTGCTGCAGTCGCTGCGCCAGCTTGTCCTCCGAAGGCGAGATAATGCCGTTGGCCGGGTGGTGCCCGGGGGAGCCGTGGCCGTTGGTGCTAGCTGTTAGCTCCTTCTTCAGCTGGCCCGCCTGCTGAGCTTGGTCCAGAGCCGCCCGGAGGTGCTCGCTGGGATCCGAGCGCACGTGGGCGAGCTTCCTAGCGACAAGCAGCGCCTGGCTGTCTGTAAGGTGCTCCAGCATATTGCACTGGGGCAGGAAGTAGTTTGGGCAGTTTTTACCCAGGATGCAATGAGCCAGGTCATCCAGGAGACCCAGGAGGAGGCGGCCAGGGGTGTCAGCGTCAGAGCAGGACAGGTAGGCGGCAGGAAGTCGGTCACAGGCCCATAAGAGAAGGGTCCGCAGGTGATAGAGGCTGAGGCCTGCACGTGGACGGGCCAGGATACGAGACAACACGGCTTTTGCTGCTTGGTAAGCTTGGGCCATGGGGTAGGGGATGCACTTCTTCAACTGAACCTGGGAATAAGAAGTATAGAGGACAAGTCAGGTATACAAGAACAGGATTAAAGACAGTGTGGTAAAGCTAACATGAATATTAGAGAAAGAGAGAAAAGGTTTGGGATGAAGAAAGAACAATGGCAAAGAAAGAATCCCAGACAGAAATGGTATACTGCTGCGTCAAACCTAATACAAGTTGGCTGCAAACGAGACACCAAAATAAAAGACATTTAACAATCCCCTCACCTCGCTGCGTGAGAACGCCAGCCTCCACTCCCTGTCGGGCCGGCCACCCAGCGGGGAGCAGCAGGGCAGCAGATAGAAGCCAGATATGGCCTCCTCCTCTGTGATTTTACCATCCCAGAAGTGGTTGGCCGTCAGCCAGCCTTGGGCCACAGCAGGCCAGCCCCGAAACGACACCACAGGCAGCAGGTCGTACAGCACCCGGCTGGAGCCTGCCTGCAGGGGGGTGGAATATTACAAGAACATTATATCTGTCCTGTATTTCAATTCCTCTTACGAACCTTGATGCAGGGGCGATTTAACATTTGATCTGTCCAATATTGATTTTGCTCCACAAAATTGTTTAAACAAGCAATTTTAGAGCAAGACTCAAAAGTTCAGAGTTTCATTTCAGCTTAGGCACTGGTTTGTTTTTAATCTGTACCTGGAGGATTATGGTGGTGAGGGGTCCGTTCCTCTCCAGTCGGTCCGGAGTGGGAATGCCTCTCTGGGGGCTGCGCCTCAGCTCCTCCACAGCCTCGCTCACCACCCCCCAGAACCAGTCTATCACCAGGGAGGGAGAGAAGTAGCATCCATCCAGAGACTGAGGAGAGCCCAGGGAGGGGATAGAGCCTTTACCTGAGTGAGGGTGAGAAGGAAGGGGGAGGGGTGAATGCTGGGCCTGCAACATTGCAACTTGTTGTAGTAAATGTTTAGTAGTGTACAGAGCAGAAGCAGAGTTACCAGGTCAAGTGCAATCAATAATTGTAACAACTCCCAAATGACCAGTCATAGTTTCAGTTTTATTTCTGTAATAGTGGCATGTTAGTGATCTCATTTGGAACCAGCCTCATTATTCGTTGAATATCACTGTCACAGTTATGTTAAACTGACCCTTGACCTCTTAAAAGACTTGACTGTGTTTCACAGCTTTCATTTGATTTGTGTGTGAAACCATCTGTCCCCAAATAAAATATGTTATGCAGTGTTTTTCCTTACATGCTAGGATAGATAGCGTTATCTCTGTACCTTGCATAATAAACACTGGCCTGTATTTGGAGCCCACTGTAGTTAACTTTGTGAACTCAGGAGTTTGGGTCAGACTCATATAGGCTGCAAACTAAGTTCTTGGTAAAGTGCAGTCGGGATTTGTAATGTGATCATTTTGGAGTCTTTGTATGATTAGTTGGGGTTTTTTGGCATCTGAAAACACCGGTGCAGAGTGAAAACTCCTTAGCTCTATAATAGATCGTGGCAGGTTTATGGATCTGGAATACTGCGCTATCTAAAACAGTTTGCTTGATTAAATGACCGCAAAATTAAATAACAATTTAGATCAATTACTTGTTGAAGTTGTTTATCACGTAAAAATCCAAACTGGTTCTAATCCGGACAAAATCACTCTATCCTGCCACCAGAAATACAGTATAGCATAAGATCCTGTGGGAAAGGTTCTGATACGACCAGAAAATGTGGCAAATTTGCTGAAAATTAAAGAGATTCATATCAATAAATATCATTACTTTTCCCTCATCTTGGGAGTTTCACCCTCGCGAGCGCGTTGCAGATCGATGCCGCGGTGTGACTTGAAAGCCGCCATGTAATCTTCCGACTTTTGATTGTGGAGTTATACTCATAAATGTTTAAGCGCATGTATTTCCTGGGGAGGCATTTTCGTTTCACCTACCCGAGGAGTTAGAATAATGGACATCCGCTGCAGCCTTGGCGGGCAAAAATTGCATCACAACATCATGCATCAAATTATCTCAGAGAAACACGAACAAAAATTCAATCAGGCTCCCATTCCTTCCACTCTGCACTGCTACAGTACCTTCATCGTCGTCTATTCCTGCACTCCTATCTCTTCACTCATCTCTTCATGTTTAAATATTTAATACTTGCATACCAATCCTCCTTTCACTGGAATCTTTGCCCCCTTTTTTCCCCCCTTTCTATACTAACCCCACTGCTCTTCTTTCTGTTCTCACTTCCTCCATTCTTATTTTGTTCTCCCCCTTCCTCTTCCTCCTCACCAATTTCTCCATCACAGGTCTTCCTCTGTCCTTGCAATGATTATCCTAATTTTTCTACTTACTCAGTTCTCCCTCTTCCTCCTCATCCTCCTCATCGGGAAGTCCAATCTCCTCCTGGCAGCAAATGCTCCAGCGGGACAGAATATTGGAGTCGCAGAGGCGAAGGCTGAGCCACGAGTGGCAGGGAGGGGAGTGCCTCATGTCCAGGGTGACAGGCTGGTTGCGGTCGTGGAGCTTGAGAGCGGGCACCAGCAGGGTGAAGTCCAGGTCAAAGTCGGCCCCTTTGACGTAGTCCCCCAAGTCCTCAGGGTTTAGGTCCAAGACTCCTTCCCGGGCCCCACCTGACAGCAGCAGGTACTCGTTGGCCACCGGGAGGCGCTGGTCTACCTTCTGGACTAAGCCTGAATTGGGTTGGGGGTGAGGAAGAGACCCAAAAAAATGAAAAATAAAAATAAAAAAAATCAATCACACTCAGCAAAAATTCATATTCAGAGCCACTGGTATGTGTGGAAATGTGTTTCCTCCGGCAGAACTGATGCGAGGAGCAATGAGCTGAAAGGTTTCGAGAAGTGTTCCCTCCCGCTCACAGATGCACACATTTAAAATGCATTTCATATTCAGACGCACGGACAAGCTCATGAGTATGCACGCCGGCTCTGACGAAACGCACTGGGACAGAAAACAGCAGGTCTGCGAGGAACATTTCCGGCCTAGTTTGCTTTGAGAGGTAATGCATATATTTATGAGTCTGCTCTGCAGTAATTGACAAAAGAAGGAGTGCAAAATTAACAGCCACCTCAGCGACCACTGAGTTAGACACTAATGATAATTTCAAAGGCTCGCCTACATGTCTGCACTCAGGCCAAGCCTTCATTCCAGCTTCCATGCACGGTGTACTCTCTACAAACACAATGCATCCACACCTCGACTGATAAGAGGGATTTCAGAGGCTGCGTTAAGACTTTCTCGTTGTCTGTCCTTTTGACAGACAAGGTGTCAAATTTCCGTCTGAATCTATCATTACCTGTCATTTAAATTGGAATTAATAACAAATAGGCAATTTAATAGCATTTCATTTTTAAAAACAAACCATAATAACATTTACAGGGTTGCAAACTCGTCAGCGGTGACAAAAATGCCCCTCACGGTAAAAAGACAGACGGCCTTCAGATTTTTCCAACATTGTTAAAAAAATTCCGTCAATGATCGGGCAACGCGACCCTGGAGCAATTTCTCCTGTTATAGATCAGCGGGGAACAGGCAAAGGGAAATTACTTATTACAATGTGGGTCATATTTTTGTAGTTTGTTTAGTTAATTGATGAGGTCTGGGAGCATGGCAATATCACTAAAAGGAAGCCTGGTGGGGCAAGAAATACGAGCAATCAGACGACCATCTTATTATATTCTCATTATATTTTAGGCCAGGCTGTACTATCACTTTCCACAGTGCTAAAAACCATTGCACACTCTCCTCCCTTTACATTTTATACGAGGAAAACTCAAGCCTCCAAATCCCTTTATGGCTACTTAGCTGTGTTGTAAACTTCCCAGGCTCTGGGCCCATGGGGGTCGCAGTACTGGAGTCAAGTAAATTATGTTTTGCAGGCCTAAAAGAGCAACTAAGAAAGGTTTGATCCTACAGCCAAACCTGTGCCAGTCAAGAGCTGACTGCTTGCTACTATAGGTCAAAGGTAAAGCACGGACATTTAGAAGCCCTGCGGAGAGACTGCGAGAGCCTGAGCTCAAGTTTTATCCCCCGCAGAGCAGTTAAGTGGCTGCAGAAAGCTGAAACAGGGGCATCAGACCGAGCCGGCAGGCCATGGCTGGGGGCACAAAGCTCCTAACATGATTCCCCTCATCCAATTATATGGGCACACAACCTTGGTGGCATGTTTTCAAGTAGAGGCGTGTGTGTATCCAAGCATGTGTTTGGATGTGAAAAAAAAGTGAGTGTGAGTCATAAGCAAAATGCCAAAAGGTAGAATAGAAAGGACAAAGCCACTTATAGTCACAAAGCAGCATCAGTAGAAAGGTTTTGGAAATTTAAAGTGAAAAAAAACACTACTGAATATGAGACAGCTGATTTGGCTGTTTTACTCTTACTTCATCCTTGTGAGTAGTACTTAAAGTATCCGTGTTGATAAGTTATGACAAACACATAACGGTGAACAGCATCCAACTCACAGAATCCCACACAATCATTTGCTCCTTGATATCAAAAAAGGTAGAGCAGTTTAAAGGAATATGAAAAATAGGTGGAAAACAGAAGGGGAAAACACCCAGAGACTGAAAATGAACGAGCGACTGAAGTGGGAGTCAAAGTCAAATGTGCTGACGAAGTACTCTCTGGTGCTTTGCTTTGAAGAGGAGCAAAATTAAAGAGCCTCATTTGACGCGACCACTGGGGGAGTAGTTGAAGAGAAGAAGAAAAATAAAGTATGTGACAGCGCATCTTAGGATTTTCAGATTTCTCAGCAGAATCCACTCAGAATCCACTCAACTCTTTCTACGACTACTGCAGCTCAGTCTTTGGCTGGGAGGTCCCACTGCACTTGATCCAGAGCGCTACAGTTCCTCAAGATCTTCAGACTTTCAACTCTCCCATGGCATCTGCAGGAGTTCTTGGTAGCATCCAAAGTCAAAGATCAGGATTCATATGTAGAAAATGAGTTTCTTGTGTACACTAGGCTTGGGTGCTATCATGGTTATTATGTTACACCAGGGTATCTAGAAATCCTGAAGGTATGATTTTCAAAACCATCAAAAACACAGACGTTCCTCTTTCTATATGGAAATGCTGCACTGAGATGATGCATTAGCGGCTTGAAACTGCCTGACATAATCTGCAACACGACCATGTGATTACATTTAGAGCTAAACTTCACTTCTCACCTTTTCCTCTGCTCCACCGCTTTCACCTGCCGCCCACTCACTTTCGCTCAACCACACACCCACTACGCTCACAAAAAGGAGCAACTCGGCGGTGACTGCGAGTGGTGGAATAACGTTACGGGACTAGTAAACAAGAGAAATGTTTCTCTGTTTGGGAGTATTTTGGGTTCAGCCTGCCGTGTCAGCAACTCTAGCAACAATTTATGGAAGAAGGCACTTATCTGTTCAGTAGTCTATGGACCATATGTATTTAAACCCAGCAAGACTTGTCTAAGTAGGCTACATGTTATACATGCTACAATGACTTGCATCACCAGCATACCAACCCTCCTGATTTTCACAGGAAACTCACGTTTTTCATCGGCCTTTTATCGGTTTCCTCCCAGGGTCACAATTATCCCGATTTCCATTATTTCTCCGGACTTATGACAAATGTTAAAAAAAAATTTCATTGCCTTCATTACCATTTCCTGCACTGGACATTGTGTACAGGCCCTACAACTTTCTCTTTATACCTACACCTTCTTTAATTGCCTACTTTACAGTAAGCTCAGAACATATCATTTAGAGCCCGACGATACAGGATTTTTGATATCTTCATATTTTGATATCAGGATTTTAAAATACAATTTTCATTATATTTTCCTTTTCAGCAACACATAACATAAACAAAGATTATCCCCAACATTGATACCTCACACAGATACCATGACATAATGTATCTTAAAAACGTTATAAATACCACTTTGAACAAGAGTTTTGTGGTGGATTTGTATGTTGCCAACAGGTGAGTTGCAAGGGGGCCCTCTGGTGGACAAACTATGTAATAACAACACTCATAACATGATTAAATGATCCGTCTCTGTTTCTTTTTGAATTGTCATTTAGCGGCTGTTATATGTAACACCAATACCGATTTATCGGTCGGGCTCTAATTTTATTGTAATGGGACTACATATAACCTTCCTCAATAACTGCAAGTCTCTTTCTTTCAGCCATGTCTGAACTAGATTTAATAAGCATTTTCCCCCCCCAACAGCATTCAAGATATTCTACATGACACAAAAAACTACTGAAAGCAGTAGCCTATTATAAGTAACTCATCTCTCCTCTATCTGATGTGCATGCAAATTGCAAAACAAATTACGACCAACTGATTATCAGAACTTAAAATCTGTTGACTGGAAAGAAAGAGAAAAAAAGGGGAGAAGGATGGGCAGATCAAAGAGTAGAAGAGAGAGGAAAAGACAGCATCAGAGGGAGGAACGGATCAGTCGCCAACCAAAAGGGGCAACGGGTTTGAAGCTGCAACTCCTCTGATTTATTTGGTTTTATCTGCCACTGATGAATTGGGTCAAATAGGCGAGGAGAAGAGGAAAAAAAGAGCAATGAAAAAGAGAATAAAGAGCATCTTTTCACTGCAGCAGGGGCTTCAGTTGGAGAGAGGAGCAAAGGGGAGAAACTATGATTTAGCGAGGCTTCTTCTTCCTTCTCCACACTGGCTGCAGGACGTTTGAGGTTGCTCAAAGGAACACAATCTACTTTCTAATCCAAGCTCTCAAATCGACCGTCGCACGCTGCTTTACTGGGCAACTGCCAGGGAGCACTCGCACACGCATGGATGCGCACATGAACACACCAGAACATACATGCCTATAGACACAGACTCTGAGAATAGGGCTGCAATGGAGACAGTCTAGGCTGGTTTCACAGCCACGGATTAAACCTAATCCTATAAGAAATGTCTTTGAATGTAGATTTACATTAGAGGGAAGATTTTTCGATAAGAGCTATTTTCAGACTAGACACAGTTCCAATGTCTGTGTAATGACTACGTGATGGCTATAGTGGTAATAGTAAAGCCTACCTACCTGCATGGCAAGCTTTGACACACTACTGTAAGCCCTGAAGCTGATACGGTGTCTCAATTCAAATCAAAATTTTTATTTTACCTTTAACTTAATGCGTCAGGGTTTTTTTTTTTTTTTAAACTTAAACAGCCACGGTAAAATCGTGAACCAAACTTTCAAGGTTAAATATACGTGTGCTGCAATCAAGGAGCAATCATGCTGTTGCTAGAGTCTTTGAAATGACCTGCTCCTGGAGATGAGGCTGGGAAGAAAAAATTCAATATCTGATTTTAACATCAATCAATCATCACAACTTTAATCCTGGGAGATAACTATGATTACCATAAACAAACAGCAGGAAGATCTGCAGCCAAGGCCGACCTATGCACTGCATTTTATTTTAGGAAATGTACAAAAATTTAGCTCACTTAAAAATAAAAACAGACACAGTTTTACTATGGTACAGTATAAAGGAAAGCAAAAGGGAAGGCAGCACATGCAACAACCTTTGACAAAGATGAATGAGGTTTTGGGTAAATATGGTCCGAACCTTAAGAAAGAAACAAATTTTTATATAGCAGGGCTTCCCTTCCATTATATTTGCGGAGCAGGCCATCTCTCAAGTCTCTGCCCTGCCTCAAAATCAGAAAAAAATAC